TTGGGCCTTGGAGGTCTAGGTTTCCCCAAGGTTCCTTAAACCAGAGAATTTCCCTCATCCCCAGGCCCCCAGTTTAGCGAAGATTCGGCCTTCCCAGAAGGAGGGCCCTGGCTGCCCTTTAGCCGGGGGGGGCCCTTTGTCCTCAGGGGCCTCAAAAGGCCCTTTTTTCCCTCCGCTGGCTGCTACCCCCCCCCCCACCCTGCTCTCTGAAGGGCCTTCCTAGGTGATCAGGAGCAGTCCCTGTACAGGGTGACTTGGGGTCCCACTGGGACTGTTGCCACAGGGACACCACCCAGTCTGTGCCCTGGTGCGCTCCCGCCTGCACCTGTTACTCTCCCGAGTCTCTGTCGGGGCTGAGGCGGGGCTTGGGGATGGGGGGGGGGGGCAGGAGATGGGAGCGCATGTGGAGTCTGAAGGCAAACACTGGCCCCCAGGCCCTCCCACCGCTGCCTGGGAGCCCTCATGACAGTGGGTAGCTTGTTCGGGGGGTAGAGGGGCAGGTGGACGCCCATAGGTTCTCTCCCCCAAAGAGTATTTTATTAAAAGATTGTTTTACAGTAAATAGTTCACTTACAGTGGGCATACCCAGGCCCCGGCAACTCTCTCACTCCTGTGGGCACCTCATTTTCCTGGCCCTTCTCCTTCTGGATTAGAGGGCACCAGAGTGCACTTGGCATTGACAGCTCAGCTGGCTGAGTGCTCGGGAGACACGTGGCCTCGGGGAAGGGCTCGGGTCAGACTGGGTCTGACCCCCGAGGGCTGTCACCTCCTCCATCAGGGACAGAGGCTGCGATGCTCCTCCTTCGGGGGTGACGTGGGCCAGCCACTCAGGTTCACCTCTGGCAGATCTGGGTTCCCCTTCACTTCCTGCGCAGACTTGCAGATCTATGCGGTGACGCCCATTCCAGATTGCGTGGATGTCCTGCAGATGGACAGGGTCCCGGATCGCGTCAAGAGCTTCTACCGCGTCAATAATGTGCGGAAGTTCCGGTACGACAGGCCTTTCCACAAAGGCCCCAAGGACAAGGAGAACGAATTCAAGGTGACAGACTGGGAAGCGGGCAGCATCAGTGACCAGGGCAGGCTCCGCGCACCGGGACCTGGTCACTGCGTCATCCTTCAGGCAGGCGGTGCGGCCAAGGTGGCCTAACACCTGTCCCTGCCTGTGCCCGCCCCGCAGAGCCTGTGGATCGAGCGCACCACGCTGACCCTGACACACAGCTTGCCTGGCATCTCTCGGTGGTTCGAGGTGGAGAGGCGGGAACTGGTGAGCCATGCGGCGATGGGGCTGCTCCTCGGCCCGGCTTCGGGAACTTTCTCTAAGGCAGGGGTCCTCAAACTACGGCCCGCGGGCCACATGCAAATACAAATATTGTATTTGTTCCCGTTTTGTTTTTTTACTTCAAAATAAGATCTGTGCAGTGTGCATAGGAATTTGTTCATAGTTTTTTTTTAAACTATAGTCCGGCCCTCCAACGGTCTGAGGGACAGTGAACTGGCCCCCTGTTTAAAAAATTTGAGGACCCCTGCTCTAAGGGCTGGAGAAAGAGCGAGCTGTGGTCCGCCGCCCGCCTAGGCCCTGCGGGCCCTCCTGTGCGGGGCTGTTGCACCTGCTCTCAGGCCTCCACCACGAGGCAGCACCCCTCCAGGCTCCCGCTCACAGGGAGGAAGTGCCCTCCGCTCTCTGACCTCAGCCCTGTGCTCTTCCCCTTCTCACGCCAAAGGGCCCGGGGTCCCGTCCACAGGAGCCAGGCGGGAAGCAGCTTCCAGGGCCTGTGATGGGGGGCTGCTGGGCCTGTGCCCATGCCGTGTCCTGTGTGCCCAGGTGGAGGTGAGCCCCCTGGAGAATGCCATCCAGGTTGTGGAGAACAAGAACCAGGAGCTTCGGGCCCTGATCGGCCAGTACCAGCACAAGCAGGTGCACGGCAACATCAACCTGCTCAGCATGTGCCTGAACGGCGTCATCGACGCTGCGGTCAACGGAGGCATCGCGCGCTACCAGGAGGTGAGGGGGGCGCCCCCACAGCCCCGCCTCCCAGGACAGCTTCCCAGTCCCCCTCTCCGCTCTGCCTCGCTGGCTAAGGGGTCCTGGGGCAGGCTGTCGGCTCCCCTCCCTGTGGCTGTGGCACAGCGCTGGGAGGGCCCTTCCTTTTTATTCTCTGAACTCTCCAGATTAGGAAGCTTCTGGTTAGGGAGCCATGTTAAGCGGCCCCAAGAGGAGTCCTGAAGCCAGCCCTTCACAAGAAGTGAGTTGGGGGCTGGCTAAGACCCTAACCCCACACTCCCCCTGGCGACCAGCCTGGCCTGCCCTCCAGGCCATCCAGCCCCGAAGGGCAGGACGAGTGTCTCGGCTTAGGTGACTTAGCCGCCATCAGGCCTCAGACACTACAGGCACCTGTGACTGCAGGAGGGCCAAGCAGTCCACTGAGGCGTGTGGGGTGCATCCCTGTGAGGGGCCGCCCCACAGCCTTTCAGGTGGCCCCTCAGACTCAACCGCTCTAGGCCCCATCTAAGTGCATCTTGGGAGCGTCTTCCTGAGTGGCCTTTCCTTTCTCAGGCCTTCTTTGATAAAGATTACATCACCAAGCACCCCGGGGATGCTGAGAAGATAGCCCAGCTCAAGGAGCTCATGCAGGAGCAGGTACGTCTCGCAGGGCTCGGGGCCAGCGGCCAGGAGGGAAGGCTGTGCGCCCAGGAGACTGCTCCCTGCTAACAGAGCGGCGTGGTCTGTCCCCTGATAGGTCCACATCCTTGGAGTCGGGCTGGCAGTTCACGAGAAGTTTGTGCACCCGGAAATGCGCCCTCTGCACAAGAAGCTGATCGATCAGTTCCAGATGATGCGGGCCAGTCTCTACCATGTGAGCTGATGCCTGCGCTGCCCCTGCTGCTATGGGACCAGGTCCACTCGGGAGCTGTCTCCCCGCAGAGTGGGCATTCTGTCCAGGGGGGGAGGCCCGAGCCCCTCATTCACTCCCTCCCTAAGGAGGCGTCAGATTCAAGGGCAAAGAACATTGTTTCAAGGTACTGTGCCCTGAAAAGAGGTTTCCATACACGAGGACAAGAGCCAAAGTACATGTAGAGATCACTTTGGAGCTATTTTTCATCCAAGAACCTAAAGCTGTAAGGCATAGCCTAAGCCAGCCCACTCTCCCCTCTCTCCTCTCTCCCTCCCCGTCTCCATCCCCTCCCCCAACGCTCCCTCCCTCCCTCTCTGGCTTCTCTTCCCTCTCTTTACCCTTCCCCTCCAGGTGCCTTCCTCCCCTCTCCCTCCAACATGTCTGGTGACCCAGGCTCACATCTGAGGACGCCTGGGGTGGAGAGTACGTGCATACTGGCTGCGCTCAGAGAGGCCAGGCCGGCCCTGGGCTGGCTCAGGACCTGGCTCTGCTTCAGGGCCAGGTCTCCCTGACTCTGGCCTGGCTCTCGGGCCTCCACGGCAGGGCTTGGCCCAAGGACTCCTGCTCACAAGCAGAAGCAGGGCCTGTCTTCCAGGACTGTTTTCCCTCCAGGGGTCTCACAGGGAATGCTGGCTGGCTGAGAATAGGGCTCACATGGTCTCGAACCCCTGTTCACATCCCTCACCCCATGTTCAACCATGGGGTGACCCCAGTGTTGTAGAGAAGCCTCCTGCTAGACAAGCTGGCTGCCAGGTCTCCAGGGGGAGGGCCCAGTTACTGTGCTCTCATTTGCCCAGGGCCGCTGGTAGAAGTGGCGAGGAGGCACGGGACACAAAAGCTGGGGGGGGGGGGGGGGGG